TCGGGCTCAGAGCCCGGGCACGGCACCTGGAGACCCTCTCCAGCGCCAAGGCCGGCGCCACCGAATTTAAGAGTCTCCAGCTGCGCGGCGGCGGCCTCCACGACCTCCATCCCGCCGCGCCAGAACCGACTGCGAACGGAGTTCTCGGCCCGCCGACAAGCGCCGGATTCGCCCCGGAAACGGTCCAAACCCCCTCAGAAGTGGACCCCAACCGCTCGGTCCAACTTCCCGCGTTTCCGTAGAGATAACACGCGGACCAGTGGCAAGGCCCGACCCCGCTGTTTGCTCAGCAGCACGTCCAAGGAGCGTGTGACGTAAGGGGAGCGTGTGACGTAAGGACGTACGGCGCTCGCCGGGGGCGTGGCCGGTTTACTGGTCTTCGGGAAGGGAGGGCGCTCGCTTTGCTTGTGTTGGACTTGGGTCTCGCGTCCTAAAGCCAGAAAGCTTGAATTTTGTTTTTCTGAATCTGGGCCCCTGCGAGTTACGCGTTGGGCTGCTAGCTCGCTAAGTCATCAGTTCGAACCCACCAGCCGAGGTCTGGGAGAAAGATGAGGCTTTCGATTCCTGTAAAAATTTGAACTCAAATCCAGAGGCTGGTCTAGCGCTCCTTATAGGATTCCCAGCAGTCAGAATTGACTCCATTGCAGTGAGGAAATCTGGGTGAAAACTTACCGAAGTGGAGACGTGAAGAAGGAATTATTGATCAGGGAAGGGCCTAAGAGTGCCCCTATCTGTACTTTGGGAAGTCTTTAACTTCATTGAAGTTAACTGGTTAAGAGATTTTGACAGCGCACATTGACCATCTCAAGAAAAGGACTAGAACGATGCCTTTTATTCCTCCCTTTCTTTTCCTTTTCCTCACAGCCTGCTAAAGAAAGCAGTAATGGGGCATAGGATTTTTATTTTTAATGATGTTGAAGTAATGTTGATGTCTATTATTTCTGACATGGCTTTGTAAAACGGTGAGAAAGACTAAAACATAGCTTAGGCTGAGAAACCGTTTTTTTTAATTATTAGGAGAACAAGAAAAAAATTCTTACGATTAAGGTAGACATCAGAATTTTCAGCCCCTCAAGGAAAACAAATCATTATTGGTACCATTTATTAAATAGCATGTTGCCAAAGATTATACTAAAGATTTAATGTGATCCACTGAGAACTGTTGTATGCCCTCCTAGTTACTAGAGCTTCGTTGAAATACAGAGCAAGAGTCTCTGTTTTTAATGAAGGAGTCCTGGTGACACAGTGGCTAAGCATTCAGAAGATCACTACTGAGCAAAAGTTGGGTGATTCATACCCACCAGTGATTCCCTGGGAGAAAGATAGGCAATTAGCTTCTGTAGAGATTCACAACCTTGGAAACTCAGACAATTCTACTCTTTACTGTATCTCACTGCCATTGAGTCCATGTCCAGTAATAGGGACATTTTAGGACAGGGTAGAATTGACCCTGTGATTACACAAGACTGTAACTCTTTATGTGCGTAGAAGGCCCTGACTTTCTCCCTTTTACCAAATGGACACTGTAAATCAGAATCAACTGAATTAAGCTGCTGATGAATCCCCTCAGCTCATTGTTGAGGGATATAAATAGCCCTGTTATCAGTGAGCACTGTAAAGTCAATTATGGCAGATATACTTAAGTCAAAATGTGATTTTATATTTGATCTCCCTTTTGACCTATTTAAACTTGTTTCCGTTTTGTTTGGTTTTTTAAGTGAAGGAGAAATCCATGTGGATTAGGTCCCTGGCCACTCCACTCTGACCGTGCACCAGGGATGTGCATAGCCTTGGTCGCATGCAGAAGACACTGGTGAGTGGATTGCTGAAGATGCAGTTAGTTAACATTTTTGCAGCCTATCACCTCATCTCCCTTATCATCCATTTACATTTGTCCCAGTCTTAGATATTTTCTTTCTCTTTGATTAAGGTTTTTAATCGGTTTTACTTTGTTAGCTTTGTTTGTTGTTTATTAATGTTTTTGTATGAAATATGAAATCCAGAATACATAAGTCTGTAGAGACAGTATCTGGGTTCCTTAAGGGTATAGCAGGGTACATTGGGAGAAATGGGAAGTTACTAACCACGAGTAAAGAATGAAGAAAATGTTCAAAAATTGATTGTGTTGATTATATAACTTCTTGATGTGATTGAACCACTGAATTGTGAATTACATGCCAATAAAACTGTTGGGAAGAAAAGGTTCTCTATGAGCACAATTAGATGTTAAGGATTTCCCATTTTTCTCAGTCTTATCCATCATTTACTATGATCCACATAGTCAAATTCCATGGCATGGTCAATAAAACCTTTAAATATCTTTCTGGTGTTCTCAGCTTTAAACCAAGATTCATCTGACATCAGCAATGATATCCCTCACTTCACGTCCACTTCTGAATCTGGTTTCATGTCCTGGAAGTTCCCTGTTAATATATGACACATTAATATGTTGCGTACAATAGAGTCCCATTAGACAAAAAGACATAAACATAATAAAAATAGAAAAACTTACCAAGAAAATGGTAACCAGAAGAGAGGAGGAATGGCAATAATAATCTCTGCTAAAATCAACTTTAAGTCAAAATAACTTATAAGAGACATTGAGGGCATCACGTAATAATTGAAGGGCCAATTCACCAAGCATACCAGTAATACATATTTATTACCTGTGATGTTTATTGTTCCAAACGGGCCAGTAGGAACATGTGGGATTGATCATGTCAAAGTTTGAAGGGCAAAGAGATAAATGGCTCTACAAGGCTCACCCCCTTCTCCCTTGCTCTCTGGTGATCAGAGCATGCTGGAGCATTCATGCGGCTGCTGTAGCTGGTTCTCGGCCTCAACCAGTGAGCTATATTACCTGTGGACCAGGACAGCCAGTGGAACGTGTCATTAGAGCTTAAAGGCTCTTTTGAGACCTGGTTAGCCTTGCTGCTGGTGCATGCATCACTTGAGCTTCAGGCTGGTGGATCCGGTCGCCTTTGATTGCATTTGATATTCCATCAGGGCCTGCTTTGCTAAGCTCCTGAGCTACTGACTGTTGGTGACTCACTCTGCTGCTTGCCGCCTGTGGGCAGACTCTACGTGCCTTGTCCCAGGAAGGCCTCTGCTGTCCACTTCCTTGAGCTTGGACCCCGCAGCTCCCTTGAGTTGAAGGACTTCCAATAAATTAACTGTTCCACAGAAGTGAGTTGAACTGAACCCTCTGTACTGCTATGTGGATTAATTAGCTCTTATATTCCTTCTCATTGTATCAACCTATCATAATATAGGTTTGAAAAAAAATCTATATATCTATATTCATAAATGTCCAGGTTTTATTTCTCTAAAGAATCCTGCCTAACACATTACCCAAAGACAGAACTCCAAATGCACAAAAGCTCTGACAGAATTGAATAGTTCTGTAATACAAGTGGGATACTTTAACACAACACTTTTGATGATGAACAGAATAATTAGAATACAATTCATCGCAGATACAGATGAAAGAAAATGTGTTGTGCATGTCTGAGGTTAACTTGGTTGATGGTGATACAGCGGCACAGCGCACATTCTTCACCAGTATGCCTGAGTCGTTCTCCTTAATGACTCATGCAAAACATGTAAGCTTCAATACATTAAAAACATAAAAATAATACGAAAGATTGTGATCATAACAACTGCAAAACTAGGTGTTTTGTTTTTATATTTTTTCCTCTTTTCTTTTTATATTATCGATCTCTAGTTTTTTAGTTGTTATGATCTGAAATATCCTTTTGTATTATTGGGACATAGTAAAAGCAGTGGTCAGAGGAGTATTTATTGCAATGAATGCATACATCAAAAAGAAGAAAGGCCCAGATCAATATAGCTAAACCTACAAGTTGAACAAATAGAAAAGAAGCGGCAAAGGATATCCAGAGTCATTGGAAGAGAGAAAATAATAAAAATCAAAACTGACCTAAATGAAATAGAAAACAGAAAAACAACACAAAAATAAAAAAGGTTGTAAGTTGGTTTTTTGAGAGGGTCAATAAAATTTACAAACCACTAGTCAAATTGACAAAAGAAAAGAAAAGAGGAGATGCAAATAACTAAAAATTGAAATTAAATGAGTAACATTGCAACAGACCAATTAAAGAGGATCATAATATTACACTCCAACAAATTAAGAAGCCTAGAAGAAATGGACAAATTTCTTGAAACACACTAGCTGTCTAAACTACTACAAACTGAAACGTGATATTTTAAAGGGTCCATAACAAAAGAATAAATTGCAGATATCATCAACTCCCAACATTAATAACAAAAAGACCCTGTCCAGATAGCTTCAGTGGAGAATTGTACCAAGCATTCAGAGAAGAGTTGACATTAATTGTATTCAAACTGCTCTAGATCTAGAGAAGGAAGAAATGTTCCCCAATTCATTCTTTGAAACCAACATTTGGTACCACTGCCACCAAAGCCAGACAGAGAAAGCAGATGAAATACAACTGTACACTTACCTCTTGTGAATATCGGAAGAAAAATTCCTCACAAAATTTCAGCCAACCGATTATATTTATTATATATGTGAAATGTAAATATTATATAATCAAGTGAGATTCCTACCAGAGATGCAAATATGTTTCAGCATGAGAAAGCCAATGAATGTAATTCACCATGTAAATCAGACAAAGGAACACTGATAAAAACAAAATTTTCCAGCAAAATAGGGATAGACGGGAAAGTCATCATTATAATTAAGGGCATACTGTATATGCAACACTATCAGCCAGTATTATCTCAAAGAAGAAAGACTGAACACCTTCTCTTTGCAAACAGGAATGAAACAAAGATGTCCATTATCACCACTTTACTCTGTATTGAATTGGAAGTCCTAGTCGCAGCAAAAATGCATGAAAGGGAAATAAAGGGTATCTACACTGGAAAGGCACAAGTAAAACCCTCTTCATTTGTAGATAGCATAATCCTATGCATACAAAATACCAGAAACTCCACAAGCAAGGAACTGGAGCTATTCAAAGTGTTCAGCAAAGTTACAGATTAACCTAAAAAAATTAACTGTATTCCTCTACCCTAATAAGGAGAAATCCAAAAGGTGAATCAAGAAAACAATACCATTTAAAATAAATCCTGAAATGATAAAATACCTAAGAATAAACTAAATCAGTCATATATAATATGCATACAAGGAAAACTATAAAATATGACTGTTAAGAAATTACATGGGTGGGAAAATATTGCTGTCCCTGTTAGACCAGGTTGACTAGAGAAACAAATCCAAGGACACTCATTTATGGGCAAG